TAGTTTTTTTTTTTTTTTTTGATGAAATCCAGTTAAATTTTGTTTGCGTATAATTTTTTTTTATGAAAGCTATAAAAAAATTTAGCTGAGGGTATTCTGGTTGGATCATGATAAGCTTTAAATTTATTGAATTCACACTTTGAGAAAATTTTTATATAATTTAATTAATTTTTCAAATACTTTATTCATTTAAAATAAATTTAATAATTTCAAAACTTATTTCATCAAAATTTAATGAAATATCCTAATTAAATTTATTTATTTATTTTACTTGGCCTTTAAGTTTGGCTAAAAAAGATTCAAGACATCCTAATTAAAAATGAGCTTAAACAATTAACTTATGATATCATCAAATTAACTGATTTTAATTTGCCGATAAATTAATTAATAATGAATATATTTGCTATAAAATATATGATATAATAGTTAAATGTTAATACATTTATATATATAATCAATAAAATAAACATCATAAATTTTTTTTAAAACATTTTTATTATTATTGTAATTAAAATATTTAAACTTTTTTTTTAAAATGCCTAGTCGCTTCCAATGTCTCGGTGCACGAACTGACTCGGGTTGGCGGGTCGTATCGAGTTGATCCGAGTACAAAGTAGGTTGGGTTTGGGTTCGAAAAAATAACCCGTTTGCAAAAAATGAGTCAGGTCAACTTGTGTCGGGTCAATTCTAAGTTGGACCTGAGCCTGACCTGTGATCCGATTTTGATGGCCCTACTTTTTAACATTCGGTAAGAATATCCCCCAAATCAAATTTATCACACACAACTCACCCTAGTCTGTTGGTTGAGAGCGTAGGCTTCCAACTAAGAAGTCTTATATTCAAATCTTTCTGTATGCGTTGTGTGTATAAATTTGACTTAAAATAACTAAATGTCCCAAACAAAAATATCATCTGCAAGTCCAAAAAAAAAAAATCTAAATTATCACGTGCCATCAAGATTCATGTCCTTTTCTCACCCTGAAAAAACTGCTACAAACCAAGAAACCAAAGAGCATACAGAAAGATTCCCCAAAAGAAAATTTAAATTTCCTAAACAATAGCTCCAGAACACGGATTCGGGATTTCTTACCGTCACAAAACATCATGATGACAACTTATGAAAGAAAAATCGTATAATATTATTATTTTTTTGGAGCCGATGTATCTACTTGCTACCATCCCTTTATGACATAACTAATCTTTGGGCGGAACCTCGCGGAGCTAACCGACAGGCGTCGTGCACACGCTTTGCTATTCCTCTCAAAGGAGGCGAGCTGCTTGAGAGGGGACTCTCAAAGGAGGCGAGCCGCTTGAGAGGGGATTAAAATATGAGCAGGGAGTACCCAACCATGCTCACCTATGAACCAAACTAAACCCGATGGGTATCGTATATTATTCGACGAGCAAATTGCAAACATATAAGCTAAAAACAGTTCCATGATAAAGACAATTCATATTTAAATGAGGACAATACTTGATAACCATTTATTTATTTATTTGTTTTGAACATTTAGGTCAATTAAGACAAACTCACACACATATTGCATACACAAAAATTCTAACCCAAGACCTCTTAGTTCATAGTCTAAGCTCTCAACCAACAAGTCAAGATGAGCTATCTTATTAAGAGCTCTTAATTCGTAATCTGTTTAAATATGTCTTAATTAACTTAAAAGTTACATAAAAAAGCTATTCTTTATAATAAATTTAGTCCAAATAATTATATTAAAAGATTTTATTTTAGAAAGAAAAATTATGAATTGGTGAAATTTAAAAATAAATAAAATTTCCCTTTAAGGCAAAAAAATTGACCTTCTTGGCCTAACACAGAGATCGGGAACATAAATTTTTTTAAAGTTTGTATTTTTTAAAACTACAAACTCAAAATGAGAAACTTCCAAGCACGTACTTCATCAATCAAACAGCCCAACTTTCCATTTCCTTTAGGTTTTATTTTCGTCTGCACTTTAATGACTGATAAGTTAAGATAATATATTAATATTAGTATTTAAAAATAAATTTATATGAAACAGAAGAAAATTATGTTTACTACACGGAGAAAAGAAGTAATCTCTTCTGAAACATGTCATCAATATCAAATATTTTTGGTTAATTTGTGTGCTGCAGAACAAATTTAATACAAAATGGGTTCGATTGATCTTCAAAATAGTTTCTAATAGTTTTACCGAGTAAGCTAAATCGGGCACTACAAATTCAACATATGATTTCACATCTTCCTCTTCTGTGCGGAGACCGAACGGTAAGAACCGTCAAGATTTACTGTGCTTTAGCTGCAATTTTGCAAATATTCAGTAAAATTACAGCAAATATGCAATAATGATTGCACTTTTGTTGTACTATTGCTAAGTATTTGCAAAAACGTAACAAATACTTAACAAAATAACAACTAAAAGACAACAAATCCGAACGATTTTCGCACAGACTAATTTCTCCCTAGATAGATATGAAAGAAAAAAAAAAGGCAGATGGGAACTGCACCGAATTTTCCATAGGTACACAATCAGCCAAACAAGCCAAAAATCGAAAACCCTCTCGTTATAGAATGCCTTTTTTATGTAAAAGGAAAAAAATGGCTCAATATATAATCCGAACCGTCGGATGGAGATCAGACGATAGGCGTGCAGCAATCCGGGCACCGGACGAGGCCGTTCTCATTGCAGGATCCGCAGGTTCGGAATCCACCCTTCTCCGTGTAGCATTTCCTGCTCCCGTTGCAGCTAGAACAGAGAAGAAACCTTACGCCGCCACACGCCTCGCAGGCGCTTGCGGCAGCCGGCGGAGCGCCCACGATGTACAGTTTGAGCTCGCCGGACTCGTGAAGCTGCCGGATCTCCTCTGAGCCACCGATGTAACGGCCGCTAATGAAGACGCGAGGGAGGCTAAGCTGTCGCCGACCGAGGAGGCCCTTGAGCTCTGTGAGAAAAGCGGAATCCATCGTCAGATCCCGCTCGTCGACGGCCACACGGTAGCCACGAAGGATGGATCGCACCACACGGCAGTCCTCGAAGGTCTTTCGCACTACACGGAGACTCGTGTAGTAGACCACGATTCGCTTGTCCTCCGACTGGGACATCGCCAACGACGGTAGCGATCGCCATGTCCGGAGCGCGGCGGTCGCGATTCGGACACGGTGAAAGACGGAAGCCTTTTTGCGGCGCACGGCGCCCGCGGTGCCGGTGTCGTCCTCCTCGCCTAAGAGAGAGTGGATGTCCTTGAAGGAGGGGGTGGCCGGATTCGAGGGGACAACGGCGGCGGCGGTGGAGGAGTCGTTGCGGGAGATCTTGCCCCATTTAGGCCACATCTGATGCGGTCTCGATGGCGATTCGGAAGGAGAGGGGAGAAACAAAAGGCGATCGGGAGGGAAAAAGGGTCGGATTTACTTTTATTGTCCTTGATGTTTTGGTGTTAGGGAGATGGGAAGGGATTCCTGTGGCGGTTTTTTTATTTATCTATTTATATTCATAATATCAGAAAAAATGAATTTAGGGATTTTAATTTTTTTTGGTTTACTATATATAGTTCATAAACTAAGACGGTTTTTTTTTTGTTTAGTTTGCTAAGACGATGATTTTTTTTTTTAATTTCTCAAAAAAAAAAAAAAGTTGTTTTACTTTTTAAGTCGAGTAAAACATAATTTATTTTATTTTATATTATATTTAATTAAGAAAATTATAATAGAAGCTTTTATCTTTTAATAAGCACTTTCATTTAAATTAATACACAATCAAATAAATAAAAACAATTATTTTTTAAGAGATAATGAGAATATCAATTATTCATATTAAGATCATAAAAAATAAAATTTTATAACTCTTAAGGACGCACTAATATAATATTATATTTGATATATCTATAAAAAAATGTTTAGAGTGATTTGACTGAATGGCCTACATCCATTATGAAATTGGTTGAGGGACAATATTTAATATTAGAAAATAGCATAGATATCAAACAAGCTTAAAAGTGACATAATTATGTTCATATGAGAGATAGAAGAGGGTTAATAGAGAGTGGGAGAGTATATATAGTGGAGGGAGATAAAGGTATAAAAAGATACACAAGCAAATAGATCATAGCTCATAGAGGTATAAAGAGATACGTAGGCAAATAGATATTAGCCTTAAGATGCTAGAAGGGTTAAGGTGAAGATCAAATGATCACTTAGGTTTAGAAAAAAGTCCTTTTAGTAAGCCTAAATCTTGCTATTTATATAAATGATCCTTCTTATAGTGTCACTTGAAAAATAAAGAGTAACCGAGCAAAATGATAAAAGAAATACACGAAAGATTGGCATTCAATATTGGTTTAAATGGCCAAACTAATCAAAATGCTAAGAATCATTAAAAAGCCAACATTTTCATCATGTATAATAAATATGGTGCATTAATCGCACATGTGTCATAGTCCAAAATAAGCCATGATAAAAGCTATATGAAACCTATGATAAACTCTTTAATTATATTGATAAAGATAATTAATGTCATTGGTGCGAGAGTCTGAAGTGCACTCAAAAGAAGTTACAATGTTGAGTGGAAGATTAAGACAAATTAATAAATTATTTTGAGAAAGTATTGATTCTCGAGAGTATCATTCCCAAGAGATCGAGGTCATTTCTGAGAGGCTTCTTAAGAGCCACAATTTTTCATGACTTTCTAGACGCAAGTTCCTTGGAAGAATTATCAAGGGCCTTATTTTTTTGAACTAAGATGATTTAGTATTAATGGGGTGTTTAGATGGAAGATAAAGATTGCTTATAACTTTTTGATTAAGTATATACTACCCTTTCTATCTTGAAGTACTATAAATGCCTCCATAGAATTTCTAAATGTAAACCAAAACTTGTAAAATCTTTTTTACTCCTTCATTAGGTTGCAATGAACCTAATAAATCGAATTGCCCTGCCCTCATTTCTTTATTCTTCCCTTCCCTTGTGATCAACCCCACCCACTTTTTTGCTCATTCATGGAATGGATTGTTCTTCGAGCCCTTACAAATTTGCCCCCCCAAACAACACTCTCTTACGTACTTTCTCAGGTAATTCTTGTCCAAGATCTTACCTTCTCTTCCTAGAGCAAGCATGACACCCTAAATCACCCCTTCTCTTCATTTTATTGAAGGAGGGGAAAGAACTTCCTTTAAGTTTATTGTAAGCCTTATATAGGGGTTTATATCTCTTAAAATCAGTCTATTGTACTTTTTAACCACAATATATAATAGTTGATGAGTTTAAAGTATAAATTGTGTGTTAATTATTTCGTCTTCCTTATCATCTTCTCGCTATCCAATTAGGGATTATGAATTGTTTTACAATATCCCTTGCTTTAGGTTATTCATGTTGTGATTAGCAAATGCATGTCCGTATAATTATTTTAGATTAGTGATTTATTAAGATCATTTTGTTGGCAAAAAATTAACATAGCAGCTTATGTTCTTTTACCACTTGCAATGAGTCTCAACCTTCAGTTGAAGGACCTCCTCTTGCATACATTAGGTAATAAGTTTAAGGGATTAATTAAAAATGAGTTCTAGTTGTTTAATTGCATTTGACTAAAAATACTCTATGTAACCCTTGATAAAATTAGTTACACATTTAATCAATATTCTCTCAATTTGCTTGTAGACAAGTGTTTAATATAATTGTCGCCCTTTGTTTAATTATATAGTTAACTTAGCTCCACCTTAACGAGGTATATTTTCTATGCCAAGTTAAATTGAAAACTTAGTTGTTTTGAAAATCTCATAAAATGAAAGGTACAATTACTACATTGGCACCTTTTCATACACTATTGCTACAAGTGAAAATTTAAAAATAAATCAAAAGGATTATATTTCTATGTATTCATATATATATATATATATATATATATATATATATATTCATTTTCATGTTCATGCAGAAAAAATATGAGTGGCAATAAACTTAAGATTTGGTGTGGAAGGGCATACTCGACAACCCGATCGAATGCATGGATTGAGGCAACGAGCAAATTGACTAAGGGCAACAAGTATGATTTTTTAGGTCATGCTAAGTAGAGAAGTTAGTTCCAATCCAAATCAAAGCGAGCCATGGGAAACAAGTATCACAAGTAACCTATTACATGGCTGGAGATTTAAGGAGATTATTTGATCCATACTTAAAGAGGTACATCAACAAAATAGTCTCTAACATACTTATGACAATGCTCAGAATGTTAACAAAGAGGTTGATCGATGATGATCACTTATTTTTTATTTTATTATAATAAAACAAACAGAACTATTATGTGCTATTCTTTTATATATAATTACTATTTTAGTCTTCATATTTATTTAACAATTTTTTTTTATATGTGTATGCTGCTTGGGTCTTGTGAATGTGTCAGATATGTGATATATCTACTACCATTTTTGTATGTTTTCAAGTATTAAAATTATATGAATTATCATTAATTAGTTGTTATTGTGCAAACCATTGAAACAACTAGTTATCGCAAAATGTCGCTTGGGAGCGCCCTATCGGCGACATGTATTCGTAACACATACATTTGTCTCAAATATTTTTTGCAATAAAATTGAGCTTCTTGCAAATTTGTCAAGTTTATTTATTTATTTTTTTTAAACAAAATGAACTTATATTAAAAACATCAGCAAAGTTTACAACAGCAAAGATAAATGCTAACATAATTAAAAAAAAACTAAAAAAATAAAAACAAAAAAATAAATAGAAGCTAAGAGCGAGCTCAGCAGAAGGTCCAGCCTCCCAGCGTCCAGGACGTCCCGCACAGACCGTCCAGAAAGGCGTAGCAAGCGTCCCAACAATCCATCCCGAAAATGCACACCTTCGGTTGCCACCAGCAAAACGAGCCGGACGCGAGGCCCGACCACATCATTGCTCAAAGCCTCGCGAAATCGCAAATCGAACAAAATATCGGGGAGAAACAAAATAACGATAAGAGAAATCATCTTTTGCATCGACCTCTCCCCCAAAATTTACCACGAGTGGCAACCTTTGGAGAACAATCAAGATCAAAATCTTGGTCGGACTCAAACTTTTCCGACTCCGAATCAACATCTGAATCCTCCAGCCAATTATTCTGCTTCCGAATATCCAAACCAGAAGAATTACCCACACATTTAGCCATTACTTGGGTATCCACCTCACTAACAGGAACCACAACAAAATTGTTTTTAGCCGAAATAAATTCATCTCGACCCAAAGACGGAACCTCCTCATTAACAACCGGAACCACTTCAACAGGCACAAAGCCATCAGAACCAACATCTGCCTCATTTAAAACTTGACAACCCCCATCAACAGCCACCTGAACAGGCATGGAACCTGGGGGAATGAAAGGCAGAGCATTTGGAGATAACACATTCACTCCAAAATCCTTTCTAATTAAACTAAATTTGTCAAGTTTATTTGCTAAAAGGTTCCTAACAAGCTAATCGAACATAAATTTCTTGTGCAATAAGGTTTGCAACAATAGATTATCTTATCTCAAAAACTTCTCTACTATAGTGTTTTCTTTCATTCCCTTAACCTTAATCGATTACTAAACCTCCTCCTTCCAACCTACACACCAAAGGATGACCCTAATCATCCATTTTCCCACATTTCCATCCCTCCAAATCAACCTATACATCCCTTGAACAAGCCCTTAATCCCTCCAACTTTCTCCTTTAAATGCATTAAAAAAAGACTCACCAATTAAGTCTAGATATAAGCCTCTTCTAAATTATCCTCCTCCTTTCTACACCACTTCACCATCATAAATACAAATGAGTTTACATCCAAACATTCATTCACCCTATCAAGAGGGAAAGATGTTTTCGTATCAAGGCTTCATCAAGGAAAATTATTTTAAAAAGTATACTTATTTGAGTGTGTTGTGCATAGTTGAGCATATTTATTTTTGATATATTTCTAAAAAAAATTTACAAGGTCAATATGAATTTTGAGGCAATATTCAAATGAAAAATCATCGAAATTAAATTCAAGACTATTTGAACTCTGATTTCAACAAATTTATAGTTGAATTGAACTTCTTATTGAGACGAGTTCATGGACATTACAAATGATTATATTTAAGTTTAAATAAATCTAAATAATGCACTTGAAACATATTTGAAAACTTCTGAATATTCATTGCTTGTAGTCAAATTGTGGAGCTCGTCGAAACAAATCTAACAAGTCCAATATCATTTCATTATTAATGGTGTATAATTTCTCCTTCTTCAATTGTGAGGATTGAAGAGAGGTTCTTTGCATCTTCCACTATATAGTGGATTATTAAAATGGGCCCAAAATCCCATGACTTTTATCATTCTTAAGTTTTCGATGAAAAATATTTTACTCTCTAATAACTTTTATCTGTGCATATTAGATTTTTATATAAATTTAAGACATAACATATATTTAACAATTTTTATCTATGCATATTAGATTTTTATT